TTAGCCAATTACAGTACCGTTACGGACAAAGTATGGACGGGCATAACGGGCACCAACACCAAGGGCTATAGCAATTGGGTCGATGGCACATCACCATACCAGTTGATGAGCCAGCTGCACACGGTTAACCGGGCACATTTACCACGTTCTATGCGCACTCAAATGGCACCATACGAGGCGTGCGTGCAAATGTCGGTCACCGGGAACTTTATGGGCAAATGGTATGGCGAGCCCTGTGGCCGTCGGGGGCTAATCATGTGCGAAAAGCCCCAGCACTGGTCGGTGGAGGCGCTTAGCGTAGCGCTTAACAACTTAACCCGCGTGGTAAATACTCAACAAAATACGATCCAGGCACTTTTACATGAGCGACACGCGGCCAGGGCTCGGAGCCAAAAAGCACCCGATTATAAACACGTAGAAAATAAGGGTTTAAACGATACGGACGACCAAAATAATGACTATATATTTCAAGGCGATCCCGCGGCGGGACAACCGGTTCAGACATTTAACATACCCATCGGGTTTGTATACATTCAACTGCCCAACCAGTCGTCGCCCCGAGACCTTTGGCCACTTAGCACGTGGCAGGACGTGACCCAAGAGTACGCGGGGTTGTTTTTCCGGGCCGAAGGGGGCGAATCGGGCCCGTTTGGTCAAATTCAACAGTCTAACTACACGGTGCGCAAGGTATTTATGACCGGTGTGGGTATTAATAGAGCCATTACAGGTGCCCTACCGGCCATACCTCGGGATCAGTTGAATGCAGTCCGTGAGGGAGAGTGGAGTGGACTGAAGGCATCGGATCGGCTACTGATTCACACGACTCGGGCCGAGAATAGGCCAATCAATACTGCGATCAGAGTTTGGAAACGTGTGCTTTGAAGGCCCGGATTGTGCTTAATGTTGCTAATTGTTTTTACCATATAAATTTACCATAAATGATCAGCTAATAGTACAGAAAATAAATACTAGTTATTTTAAAATAATTAAATAATCATAACGCAATCAAATAAGCTGCTATTGTACTGCATTATATTCCATAATTAAATTAGTTAATTAAAAAAATTCATTTACTTAACGTTAGCATAGTTTAATAAACAGTTATCATGATTAGTTAAGGTAAAATGCAAAATACTTGATAAATAAATTATTGTATATAAATTCAATTAAAATAATAATATTTAAGCACTAAAATAAGCGCATGGTTTGTTGGAATGAACACAATGTAATGGTTTTAACATTCATCAACAAATTAATTAGCATTTAAGCCAACATTTATTTAATTTTTGTTAATCTATTGCTAAGAAAATATAAACGAATTACAATATATGGATTAAGTAAATCATAAGTTTTCTATACTTTATCTATAGATAAACTAAAATCTAATAAAAACGAGAGAGAGAGAGAGAGAGAGAGTTCTTGATTTGTAAACAGATTATTTAGATAAGGAAGATATGTATTAACGGATTTAAATATTCCAATCAAAACATATTTAAAGCAATAAAAGTTATAATAAATATTCATTTCATTTCTGGTCTCAAATAGTGTTTTTAGTAAACCAATTGAAAATCACATCAAACTTTCTTTCAGTATTTTTATTGATATTTTAAAAACAAATATAAAACAAATTTAAAATATTTAAGTTTTATTTATTTTAAATAAATGTCTGAAATCTATCCGAAGAACTCTTTGGATCGTTTCGGTGATGATTTGTGTCAACTATTGTTGTCTTATTTCTCACTTGAAGAGCGGTTTCGATTGGAATGTGTGTCCAAACAGTTCCAGAGAACTGTCTTCGAGAGTGTTGTCGCCATCAAAATCAAAGACAAACTCATTCAAAGTGAAAACAATACAAAGACTCCAATCTTCACAACAATAAACAAAATCATCAAAAAGTGTCAAAACATCGAAACCATTGACTTTCGAGGAATAAATGACAAAAATCAATACATTCTCGAAGTGTTGCCCGAAATTATGGACAAATTCCCAAAATTACGGAATATTTATTGCGATTTGTGTGAAAACAGCGACCGATGGGTCCGACAGTTGGGACCACTGGTCACACGAATCAGCTGTGAGTTGTCCTCAAAAAAGCAATCACTCATTCATTGCCACCGATTGTCACACTTATGTATCAGTTCTTTAAATGATGTCTTCGACACCACTTCCGGTCAATTATTGGCAAAGAATTTGCAGAAATGTTGGTTCAAATACAGCAATAATATGGAACTGTTGTCTGAATTCGTGTCCGGGAATCAGTCCCTCAAATGTCTTCTACTCTCTAATATAAAGTGTAGCAAACAATTTGGTCACCAATTGTCACAATTACCACAATTACGGCGATTGAGACTCAATTTCATTCTTATGAATGACAAAAACTTAATTAACGACACTTTGAGCACAATTGGCGTGAAATGCAAACAATTAAAACGATTGGAACTCCTATTAAGCGCTAAGATAACGGAAATCAATGTCCAAACATTGGATTCGCTGGAATTGTTTAAGCGATTAAAACGACTCTATTTAGTACTCATTGGATCCAACACTCAGTCGTTTGATCTTTGGATTCCCGGCAAAAGATTAACCCATTTATGGATTCAATGCACAGAAATAGACAACAAATTATTGTGCAATTTTCGCAAACAATGGCCACGACTTCAATGTCTGTCCATTAAATGTCAGCATTTGAACGGCCAGTGTTTGGATCACATTTCAAGTCTACCGGCGCTACAAATGCTTGTCATTCAATGCGATGTAAGCACTGATCTCTCGGATAATGATTTCAATTATCTGTTGTCCAAAAGTCCTAAACTAAAGAACATTGAAATTAATGAAAACAATGTTAAAAAGTTTTATTCAAAGTAATAGTAATGCTTTTAATAGTATTATAAATACAATTTCTCTTATAAGTTAAAGTTTAAATGTATTTCAATAAATGTTTAATTATATATTTGTTTTATAATTTATTACGGCATAACTTATGCCGCATAAGAATAATAAATATCTATTAAATATTTACAGCCGATATCAAGATAAATGTAAAAATATTGTCTAATAAAAACATTTATAATTATTAATTAACAAATATAATTAATTATTAATAATAAATCACCAAGTTTGTTTTCTCAGCCTAACTTGTTCATTTTTATCATCTAACTGTTGCATCAAATTATTTAGCATTTAAGTCCACATTTATTTAATTTTTGTTAATTTACTTTACAATACTGTATATGAATACACTGTTTAGTACATATGGATTAAGTAAAGCATGAGTTTTCTATACTTTATATGGAAATCTATAGATTAACTTAGATCTAATGAACTCGAGAGAGAGAGAGAGAGAGAGAGAGAGAGAGAGAGAGAGAGAGAGAGAGAGAGAAANAGAGAGAGAGAGAGAGAGAGAGAGAGAAATCGTATTATTTAGATAAAATGAATGTGCATTAAGGGATTTAAATGTTTCAATCAAAACATACAGTATGTTAATGCAATAAAAGTTATACTAAATATTCATTTTATTTCTGATTTCAAATGAGAGTGTTTTCAATAAATTGAAAATAATATCAAACTTTCTTTTAATACTTTTTATTCATATTTTTTCAATATATAAACAAAAAATTATTTTAAAACATGGAAAGTTTTATTTAAATCAAATAAATGTTTAAAATGTATGCAAAGAACTCAATGGACAGATTTGGTGATGATTTATATGCACTTGTCTTGTCTTATCTCTCATTCGAAGATCGGTTTCGTTTGGAATGTGTGTCCAAACAGTTCCAGAGGACAGTCTTCGAGAGTGTTGTGGACATTACTCTTAATGATCGATATATTACAAGATTAATGACTCAAAATATATGTGATGTTCAAATGTTGGCCACAATTACCATAAAGTGCTCAAACATTCAGACCATTGACTGTCGAGGAATATCGTTTAGATATGAAGACCACATTCCCGATGTGTTGAACACATTTCGAAACAATTGCCGGCATTTAAGAGAAATTTACTGCAATTTATGGAGAGATTGTGAGCAAACAATGCGTTCATTCGGACCACTGATCACACGAATCGGTGAAATCAGTTTCAACACCAAAACACTTATTCGTTGCCACCGATTGTCTGAATTAAAGACCCAATGCGTTGGCGACATGTTTGACATGTATACGGATCAGCTTATGGTTAAGAATCTAAATAAACTTGAATTAAAATGCTATTTTCACTTCTATTTGAACAAATTGTCTGCATTTGTAGCACACAATCAGTCCCTCAAAAGTATTGCCATAAATTCAACACAACTCAACACTCAGTTTAATGTCGAAATGTGCGGACAATTGTCACGATTAACACAATTACGAGAATTGAGACTCTGTTTACATCTACTAAATGGCAAGAACTCATTGTCTGAGTCTTTGCGTACAATTGGCTTAAACTGCAAACAATTGCAACGATTGTCACTTACAGTGTATTCAAATCCTACCGGAAGAATAACATTGGATTGGTTGAGACTTTACTCGCAATTAAAACGATTGCATTTATCACTCATCGGTGCCGTCGCTAATGGTTTGTTGGATCCGTTGAAACACTGCAAGAGATTAACACATTTAAAGATGAATATTTATGAAACAGATATAAATACGTTTAAAAATTTATATAAAACTTGTCCACAAATTCAATATCTAAACATCAGAACTATTTTTATTACTCGCGAGTGTTTGTCACACATCCCAACACTACCGGCGCTGCAAATGCTTGTCATTCACTGCATTCAAGACATTGACTTTAATAATCTCTCGGACAATGATGTGTTGTCTTGTGTCTTGTCGTGTGAAGTGTTGTCGAGTCCTAAACTCAAGAACATTGAAATCCGTGTAAACAATGAGAAGAAGTTTTATTTAAAGAAAAATTCAACAAATATTTAAATATTTATTTTTTTAATTCTTGATATGTATAAGTGTTTTACTAAATTTATATAATAGATATTTTTAATTAATTAATTAAATTTTTAATTATATGTTAGATTATAAATATCTGTTAAACATTTTGAGCCATTATCAAGAATCAAGTAAAAAATTTCAATAAAAACATTTATAACAAACAAGTGCATTAATAAAGCATTAAGTTTGTCGTCTCAACCTAACTTGCTCATTTACATCATCCAACTGTCGCTGATATCCATCGATCTCTCCTTCGGTCGTCTCGCGGACTGAAGAGAAGAAGCGCTCAAAAGCGGACAACTTATTGACCAGATCTGCCTTTTGGGACACCTGTAGGCCATCGACCGCCCGCTTAGTCCGTATATAATTTGCTGACAATTTGTTTTTAAGGGCTTTCATTTGATCGCTCAATAGGGGTACTCTTCGGGGCGCAGGCGCTGGTGTAGGGCCTCCCGCTGCCGGACCGGGCGTTGCTGTACCTGTCTGTGGATTAGTACGATAGCCAATCTCGTTGTTAAGCCTTAATTGATTGAAGTGGTCGCCGGGCGGCGGTTGTGTTGGCATAGAGTCAGCCTTTACTTGAAAACTGTTAGCCACCAGTTGGCGCCGGAATGCACCGGTAGGTGTGCCTAGTAAAATGAGTTTCATTTAGCTTGGTGGTGGTTTAGTGTATAATTATTTAATTAAGTGTTTAATTAATTATTTACCTCGATGTGTAGTATTATTGCCATCATTAACGGCTTGTACGCTAACATTATACCTGCCGGCGCCGCTATAGTCTGTATAGTATGCGTAATAATAGCCCTCGTTGTGAAATAAGTTTAACTGATGGTCAGTCTGTGTGCCGCCCGGTCTGTCCACTGTTGCCGTCACTATAGCGCCCACTATTGGCTCATCACCTTTGCATAGCCTACAGGCTATTATGGGCGGACTGTGGTCCTTTGATGGCCGTAAAAATACTTGCAATTCAATGGCTTGAGCTCTGGTAGGGTTGCTCTCAAACACCAGATGTGCCCTAACAGCACTTGATATTTGTTTTGTTAGTTTTATAGTCCAAAGACCCGATTCAGTCGACTCCAGGTATAGTCTGCACTCTTTTAGGTCCAAACGTTTAGCTATTTGTCCGCCACCTGTAGTACTATACACGACACCCGACGGACCGGTGATGTCTACGTCGATGTCTTTGATGGCTTCGGAGCGGATCTGTATTTGAGTGTTGCGTCCGATGTCGGCCTCAATGGGAACTCGAGTCTCATATGTGTTGCCATTTATGACCACAACTTCATTGACAACAGTATGAGTGACCACTTCTGCCATCTCTTTACTGGTTATAACCTCTTTCATCGCGGCCTCCATTACGCGGGCCATCATTTCGCGGCTCTCGGGGTCAGTACGGCTCACATCATAGACCAGACCTCCCGTATCGGCCGACAGCTTCTCCAGGTTCGGGTCAGCGCTCACACCGATTGCCAAACAATAGACTTTTACCTGAAGTAATTTAATTGTATTTATAAATATTTAATTGATTTGAACGAGAGAGAGAGAGAGAGAAAAGAGAGAGAGAGAGAGAGAGAGAGTAATTAAAAATAAAATACAATTAAGAATTAATTATTAAACATTCAAAATTATGAAATTAAAAATAAAACGTTATACATATTTTTAAAAATATTTAGACTCAAAAAAATCTTGGCGCCATTTGTGTCCACTTTTGCGCGACTAAACGCCGCCAACGCCTCCATAATACCGGCCCTGATATCTGTGAGACCACCGCCAGTGGTCGGTACGGCTGCCACCAGGTTATTACGTACGGTTTGACTAGTAATCTTGATCACTGGATGCACTGACCACGCTTTGCTATTGAATAGCACAATACCAACATGATTATTATCACCAATATTGTTTATAAATCGCACGGTCTCCAAGTGCAGTGTCTCGCACTTCGCACCGGCCATACTGCCCGACACGTCCAATACAAACACTGCCCTCTCACACATTGTTTATGTTAATTATTAAAAATTTAACTAATTTAGTTTATTACTTGCTAGTTATTGAATTTATAACTAACGCACAATTAAAACAGATATTTTTATTTTGTTTATTATTTATTAGTTATGATTACATAATAATTTTTAGCTAAAAATTAAACACTTGAAATGGTTAATGAATTTTATTTGCATTTATCATGTGCAATCATTTAGGATGTGAATCACTATGGTTAAAAAATAAAATTAATTATAAATATTATAATTACTGGCATTTAAACATTAAATGCATTTCAATGTAAAATAAATATGATCATTTTTATATAGCAAAGTCCATAACATAAATCCATACACTATCTGACAAACAGTGAAATTCAAAGCCGTTATCATATATACAGTATTATTTAAAAACAAAATTATTTATTACTTTATGAATAGATATGATGGTTAGTTTTCGGTAAACCCAACTATATAGCATTATGGTGGATATGATGTGATTGTATCTAGCATAAACTGTATTTATGAGAGTAATTTAATCTATGTAACTATGCATACGAGACATTGATAGTTTTTTAAAAGTATATGTACTGTTAATGACATTCACTGTATTACTATTGCAGACATTGAATATACAGTTATATTTGTTTTACATATTTTGTATAAATAATAAAATATTTTTCATTTAACATGTTTTGCAAAATTAAGAGTATTTAATTATTTTTGTTAAAAACATTTATTTCAATGCAAACTTGAAATGTAAGTAAAATTTTCATAATTATTATTTTCCACAACTTTAGCAATAGTTATTGACCACAATTTTAGCTAGAGTTTATATTTATTAATATAAAATTCTATGATGTTAATAAATATAATCTATCTAATTATTTATCTAGACTTTATTGTGACTATTGTAACCTAGAAAATTACATAATTAATAGCAAGGTAATCAATTGCCTAGGCATAAACTAAAAACATTTTGACCAATATACCTTTGCCTATTATAACCCCGTCTAGTGTTGCAATATCGTAAATTAACTATTAAGTAGAAAACATAATAAATAATAAAATTATTATGTAAGACCCAAGATTCTTAAAGTAATAGACATTTAAACAAATTATTATATATTATCTAAATAGTAATTTAAATACCTTATATTAAAAAAATTATTCATGAATTTTACAGCAAATTAAAGCATCGATGTTTTGTTTAAAAAAAACAAAATTCTTAATTAATGGCAACTAATAGACGAGTGGTTGAAGTGAATGAAAACACATTTCATTTACACAATAATACAATCGAAGAGATATTCCGTAAACTGAATGACAATTCATGGGATAAAATAGCGATCGTATCAGTGATTGGACCGCATTTCGAGGGAAACACTTTCACTGCTAATCTCATCTTAAATTACCTAGAGCACAAAAACATTGACCTGGATAAATGGCCGTACGAAGTAACACTAAGCCCATATCGTGGGTTCAAAAATATCGACAATTATCACGATGAAAATGGCCAGAAGAGACCAAGGAATCCGGGCATTGAGATGTGGTCCGAACCCCTTATTATTAACAAGGGCAATAAGCGGGTGGCAGTAATATTGATTAATCTACAAAACTACCCATACACATTTACTGAGTTAATCGAGAATAATACACTAATCCAAACTCTGAGGCTAATATCAAACATATCGACTATATTTGTGATTAATAAACGTGGTGTTACTGTAAGTAGTGTTTGTTCACATAATTTGATGTATAATTATTGCAGTATTTATTAATTAATTTTTTAAATGTAGAAACACCCCGATGAACCGGGCGATAAATACGTAATCCCGGTCAATTCGTATGAACAGTTGCTCAACACATTAAACCTATGGGAATGCAATGATTTTGACACCAATGAGGCAAATGTAGCCCTAATTACAAACGGATACGAAAAATATCAAACACTCGGCCGAGAGTTTAATAAAAAGGGCACGTATTTAGTCGCCTGTCCCGAGTATAACGTAAAATATATCGACTGGAAAGTCGGGGAACTTTGCCGGGAATATGTGGACCAAATGAAAACATTCATACAATTAGATGCCATGGATTTGAATAATCCTCTTCTAAGCGGCCCTACCTATAAAAATACGGAACAAATACTAAAAATAATCCAAGAGCAAATTACCGTGTTTAACGACCACAATAAGAGCATCGTTACTATAAGTGCCCCCTATTTGGAGTCACATATAGATAACTGTGATGGTGGCAACGCTGACGACACAGAAAACAATGCACTTGCTAAAACATCAAATGATGAAGGCAAATCAATCGCTAACATTGACCATAATGACAATATCAATGGCCCGCGTACTGACCCGAATAGATCTACTGTTACCATTGCAGTACGCGAGCAAAAATCGCCGCAAATTAATAGCCAGTTGTCGGACGATTCAATTCCACCCCCGGATGCGGGCCGTGCCGATAGTCCCAGTGAAAGTACCGGTGAAAATATGGGCCCTATGGACCCTATGGACCATGATCAATTTATGAATGACTCGGACAGTAGCTTTGGTCACATGACTGGCGATCCCTTTTCAATAACCTCTGATCTAATGACATCTGATAGCGATTGTGGCGGTGATGTGACTGTAAGCGAGTCATCTGATGATACGAGCGCTGATCAAGCACATTTAAACGTAATTAATAATGTAGACAATAATAATCAGGGTGATATACAAAACCCTATTGACCGCGTTGTAGCGCACGAAAGGGATATACGCCGAACCGGTCGACAGACATCGACCCATCCGTTGACAGACAGACAATTATTGGGTGATAATGAGGGCAAAGTCAGTGGCGATGAGAGCACAGTTGGCAACACTACCGGTGCTGTTGACACGAATGAGTTAATATTACTGAAGAGAAAATTATTAGAAAAATATAAAACAGAAGTTTCACAACAAATAGACAATGAAATATCCGACATATTAGGGGCGTTGCATAAGGCACACGAGTCAGCGCGTGTGAAATGCGTGATTGAGTTTGACAGAAATACCAAAAAGAAATTTTCACCAGAAATATCCAAAGAGTTTCGACAATCACTGGACAGTGCGCTAAATGAAGAGAAAGTACTCTTTGAATACGAGTGCAAAAATAGGACAACAAATGCCAATCTATTGGTGGAAGAAATGATCGATAGTTTCACAAATTCAATACAAAACAGACTCAATGAAAATTTTGAGTTTCATATAAAATGCAAAAATTTTGATCCAATATTTATTGAGATCTCAAACAGAGTGAAGGCCGAGTTTGATCGAAAATCTGGCATGCTCAAACAATTGCATAAACTGTATTCGCAAGCATTGGCCAATTTTATGAACGATCAGAAAGTAATTTACGCAAATTTTGACGCAAACTATAACCAGTTTGTGACCAATTGTGAACAACTCTGCAAATCAGACGAGTATTTCATAGACGAGACACAATTGAAACACTTTTTACTGACCGATGAAGAGATCAAAAACTTGTTTAAAAATGATTACTATTTATATGAAAAATTCAATAAATTAATAGAAAATGCGAAAAAACATTACAAACAAAAGATATCACAAATTAATAAAATAAATCAAGAAACGGTGGAAAGAAGTTTACAAGTATGTGAAGAACTATACGTTAAAGAAATAAATGGTTTACTAAAAAGCGGTACATTTACTGACGAAACATTCCACGAAAAACACAACACTATTTGCAGTACTATTTTTACCGGCATTGCCGACAAACTATCAGAAAAACAATTCAAATCTAGTGTCATTAATTGTTGCAAACAGGGCATGCACAATTATACAAAATCTATGTACCAGACACACTTGGACAAAAATCAACACAATCATCAGTATATCCAAACTAAAATGAACGCGATCCTTTTAAAATCTTATCAAACATACTGCAAAGGGTTAGCCGCCAAACTGGCCACCAGCACATATATGGAGAGCGACCAGTTTGACCATGAACATCAACAGGTGTTACAACAATTATGGTTAGATCACGAACAGCAAGTGATGGCCTATCGGACACAGTTTGCCGACACATATCTACGCGAAATATGTGATAAAAATTGGTATAATATTGCGCTGAATATCAATCACTCGAGAGAGAAATACTGGACAATCAATGAACGCAAGCGAAACAAATCGCATACATTTATTATGTATTTTGAGTGCAAACCAATTGCTGTTTATTACAACAACAAGCATGATGATACTATTTGTGGCTTAACCAATACCGAAGGGGACAGAGATTCAAATTGCGTTGTGTTTGACGGCCAGAATATACTCTACGGGAGGGAAGCCGAGCAACACCTGAATGGACACACGTTTGACATCAAAGACCTGATGGGAAGGGATGTGACGGACGATGAGCTCAAACGCTATCCCTTTGATTTTGTGGACAAACGGCCCCCAAAAGTACGGCTCATAATAAAAGATGCGATTGATATTGATTTATATATCGAGTCGTTGTTAGCGTTACAAGTTTTGGACACAAAGAATGCTATGGCAATCGTATATGAAAATTACATGAAAAACATGGTGTTTATTGTGCCCACAAATTATACCATAAGGAAATTGAACGCATTTAGCGATGTGGCCAAAATAGCAGGCATTGAACATGTTCAGTTTATCACTGAAATAAACTCAGTTGCCGTAGATTTTGGTTTTAATAGTGATAAAAACCAACGAAATGCCGCCTTTCCTGACGTATTGCTTATATTAATCACAGACAATGGCTATGAGTTAGCACTCGTTGAATATTGCAATATAAGTGTTAAATACAATGCATACATACGGGTGGCCATCGACTGGTCACAAATCGCGGCTAATTATATTTCGGTTAGAAATAAATTTACGGAATCATTACAACAATTATTCAAACACTTCCCATACAAACAAATGCCAATATTTCAAAAGCCCAATGAAAAAATCTTTCATTGTTTTATTGTTGGTGAGTATATTATTAATAATAATATTATA